TAAACCAATTGAATCAAACTTAGTAATTCCTGTCTTGAAGATGGAGAACATATCCTCTGTATCTAAGGTAGGGTAAGCGAAGAGGAAATCTACTTTGATGCTTAGAATATAGTGAAAAAAAACCCAGACATGTAAAGTAGAAAATCAGCTACATAAGGCAACTCTTAAAATATTTAGCACATATCAATACTTCAGTAAGTCTCACGAAACAATTTCTGTTCAAACGATCAAGAAACTAAAGGTATTTAAACTAAAAATATCTGAGTTTACTACCAAAAATCTCAAGACAAAAAAAAAAAAAAAATCCTAGCTATGTAGGAAGTCATCAAAAAATTTTGGGCAAGGATATCCTCAAAGTTGTCAGGCTCCTTAGCTCATCCCATCTTGCCTTATAAGTACATATGCTGTTTTTCAAGGAACAGCAGTAGATTATTTCCCTGGAATAGTTCAGTCGTATTTTAGAGTTTGACTTCCTTGGATGTTGCTGCTCAGTGGGTTTGGATTTTTGGGGAGGATTTGCTCAGCTTTTGGTTTTTTAACGATTTCCCTGATATTACTACTTTTACATACATTCAGTTGTATCAATGGGCTACACACGCAAGTTGATATTAAAAACTTGTTATGTGAAGAATATCAGAAAAGCACATTGTATTATCTAAAGCAATCTTTTGAACTTTGTTGCCCTAACGAATGCTGACTATACTTTTTAGCAAATATTTTACAGTATCTTGAGGACAGTAAAGAAGAGAGCGTTTTTGTGTAACTGAAGTGCTATTTTCAAAGCTACACCACAGGACATGCTCCAGACAAAAAAAAAAAAAAAAAAGGCGGCAGCTTTGTAAATCCAATGCAGACTACAACAAACACACCAGCACAAAATAAAGTCAGGAGTTACAAAGAATGCATTTTTATACTTGGACAAAACATCTACAGAATGGGACTATTTTTAACCTGATGTCATTGCATAAGCAAAAGCGGAAACAGCATGCATGAAAGAGGGAAAAAGTGCTCACAAACAATAATACTGCATTAAAGGTTGCCAGTCCTGCCTAATGGGGAGGGAGGAACAAAAAAAAAACCAAAACAAACCAACCAAGAACATCTTATGCACCACATAAGAGTAAATAAAAACTTAAAACTGGGATTATTGGGATAATAATAATAATAATTGGGGGATAGGGGCAGGAATCGTCTCAGCACGTATCAGATACTGGATAGAGAAGAATAAACCGTCAACTTGTCACAACTAGAAAAAGATGCAAGGAGGTTTGCCTCTCAGAACTTGAGAGAAATGTTTTCCAAAACAGTATTTAAGAAAACGTGGGATTGCAGACAGAAAAATGTGTTACTCTAAAACTCGATTTTCTAAACAGTAACAAAAAAGAGCAAGGATACTTTCATTTCCTAAGCAAATCCTGGACATGTAGACGGCAATTAAGCACTCCCCACACCTCAGGCAATCCTCATTAATATAGGCACAGGATATACGAGATCCAGTGTTTCAAGGCTAACTGTAATTGAACATTGCAACAATGTTGTCTTAATCTCCAGAAGGGTTTCTTAATTCTGTGTTAGACAGAAAGAGAAGTCTTACCAATATCTTCTTTGAGAAGATGCATGTCTGCTGATCCTCCATATGTGGAATAAGGAGCCCTGCAAGCAAAAAAGGCATTTGGTGCCTCTGTAGGAGTTGAAAAGTGGCTCTCTTTTGTTTGTTTTTGTGTTTTGTTTTTTTTTCCTGCCCACTCTCTTCAGGCACAGATTAGGTCACCTTCTTGATTACCTAGTGTTAGTTAGAGGAAGATTATTTTTTCCTCTAGTGTTTTCACAGAGCAAAGAATAAAAATCAGCCATAGAAACAGGCAGGCTGGAAAGGAAATAGAAGAAGAGCAGGAAGGAACAACACAAAGATTTTTGGGC